CCGCGCTGGAGCTGGGCAGGGCCGCGCGTGGGGCGTGCGGTTTTGCTTTATTTGCTAAAAAAATTCTGCCTTGTGAGGCTCCGAGCGGTTCCTGCATCAGGGATGAGGCCGGGGGCAAGCGCTGCGGCGCGGCAGCTGACAGTGCCCTGGCTTGTGCCAGCGTTCCCCGAACCTTCACATGCGGTCCCCAGCCATCCCTGCCGCGGCCAGCGCTGCTCGTGGTCCCCAAGGACTCCTCATGAGCCACCCCAAGCACAATGTCTCCTTGCAGCAATTGGGAGTGGGGGGGCGCGCCCCTCGCTGCCGGGCGCCCCGTTTGCCAACAGTCACTTCAGCGCCTTCCCCGGCGGGGGGGGAATTTCCGGGGAATTTGTGCCCAGACCCACGCACTTGGCAGCCGAGGGGATTTGTGTTTAGGGCGGAAAATCTGGCTCAGGCGCCGTGTTTGTTTAGGCGCACGAGGCCCTGCCCTGGCACTCTCCCCGGCCGAGCGCGGCTGCGCCTTGGGGCACTCAGCGCCCTGGGCGCCCCGACGCCACCCCAGGGCTCTCACCCGGTGGTCACCGCAGCTCTAGCGCTCACAAGCGACCTCCAAAATGTGATGCCGGTGGCCAAAGTCCAAAGCCAGTGCAGGCACCAGGTACGCGGTGACCTCCCATCAGTGCCACACGCAGCAGGGTGGCCACTGGCACTGGGCAGTAGGGAGCGGGCGCAAGTGTCCCTCTCCAGGCAGCAGCCCTCCCTTGGCATGGCTGGTTTGCTGCCACCAAAGCACTTAGGGTGACACCCGTGTGACATTACACCCTGGCGCACAGCCCGGAGCGGGTGTAGCAGTGGCCCGCGGTGGCTGCTCCCCGCCGAGCCGCTTGCCACCCTCCTCCTCGGCAGCAGGTCTGCGCCATCTCGTGGTGACAGGCACAGCGCTGCGCGGTCCCCCGGGGACCCCAGCACCGCGGGCCACGATGCCAAACTGCCCGAGAGGCCTCCTGAGGCCTCCCGCGAGCCTTGGGAGAGGCCGCGGGGACGTGAGAGCAGGCGSAGCCCGAGGGCGCGGGCACCCCAAGCCGCAGGGATGGTGCAGGAAGGTGTGGGCAAGCCCAGGGTAACCCGGGCTGCTGCGGAGCRGGCGCTCGCCTCGCTCGCCCCGCGGGGAGCAGGGCTAAATTTAGCCCTCGTCGTTGCAGGGGAGTGACGGCGATGAGTGGATAAGATGGATATCGGCGTCGCCGGAGGCGAGCGCGCGCAGCTAAAAATAGCAGCAAGGACGCGGGAAGCAGGAGCAGACGGAGCAGCGCCGTTCCCGGGAAGGCGAGATGCATCCGCTCATCCCCACGCCACGGAGGGGTGCGCCCGGCGCCCCGGAGCGGCCTTGGTGCCGGTGCCAGCACGGGCGGCTGCCAGCGCGTGGCCCCTCCTGGCCCGCGGCCGGCCACGCGGAGCCTCCCCCTGGGCAAACACGGTGACGTGCCCCGTGCAGCGCGCGCCCCGGCCCTGCCCTGCCGCCCAGGGCTCCCTCCTGCGCCCGCAACGGGTGACGGCCCCCACTGGGGGGGCTGAGGGGGCTCTGCCGCCTCCCGCCTGCACATTCCTCCCAAACTCGTTCCGCAGGGTCTCRCGCAGATGCCAGGCTGATGGCATCCGGGTTTGGCTTCCCGGTCATGCCCCGGTTAGCACCGAGAGCCAGCAAAGGGTCAGGAGCAATGAAGCTTTGGCTGGCGCTCGGCACGTGCCCGAGGAGAAACTGGGCTCGGGCGCAGCCCCTGCAACAACGGTGTCACTCGGGAGCCCCCATAGCCCGACCTGCTCCCCAAGACCTCCAACAAGCCCCGCTCCCACCCCCAAATCCTTCCACCAAAACCCCCTCAGAGAGGCCCAGGAGCAGCCCTGGCCCTTCCCAGAGAGGCGATGGACTTGGCAGGGAGCCAGGGGTCCCAACCTGCCTCATTGCCCCAAAGTCTGTGGGCAAAAGCCCCCCACTACCGTAGCCCCCAGAACAGCCCCCCAGGTTTCCCCCAGAACAGCCCTGGGCAAGTGTCCTTGGTGCCCTCCCCCTCCAAGAGGGTCCCCAGCGCATCGGAGTCCCCATTCCCACACCGGCCGGTCACCCACTAGGAAGGAGCAGCGGGAAGTGGGGGGAGAAAAAGCAAGAGGAGGCAAAAGCTAGTGAAAAATGACCCATTTTAATYGCAAAGCCTCCCCCAAGCCTCCTGGCTGTCGGTGCTGGCTTTCGGGCTGTGCTGAGCCGTGCTGCCCCCCCCGCACCCCGCAGGTCCCCCCGCTGCCGCCTGCGGGGCCCCCACAGCGTGCCCCATGCGTGCGCCGGGCCCCGGGGCGCCCCTCGCGCGGAGGAAGGAGAGAGGGAGCTCTCGGAGGCGCCCGGCCGCCCTGGGGAGCGGGCGGCCCACGGCGGCCTCTTCCTCGGCTCCGGCAGCGAGCGCCCCGCCGGGACGCGGCATCCCGGCCAGCCGTGCAGCCCGCGGCCCTGCCCGCGCTCCGGGAGAGCCCGCCGGCGCCGCGGCCGGGTACCCGCCTCCCCAGCCCTTAGGTAGGCACCGTGACGAAGACCATCTTGGTGGAGTAGACCAGGTCTACTAGGTAGGCGAGGAGGTTGAAGATGGTGAGGAAGGTCACCCCCAGGCGCTTGTTCCACCAGCAGTTCGCGCCGCAGGGGTTGGGGCGCCTCGTGTTCCTGAAGCTGTACAGGGGCCAGATGACGGTGACCGTGAGGTACATCACCAGGGCCAGCGCRTTGTAGCCGACGAGCATCTTCTCCAGGGCACACGGCATGTAAGCGAGGCAGCGGCCGATGGTCATGATGATGATGAGGAGGGTGATGATGAAGCAGATGGCGTAGACCGCCACGCACCACTGCAGGGCGGGTTGGGAGCCGACATTATCCAGCAAAGAGAAGATCAGGCAGGCCACGTAGGCTTCGAAAACCTTGAGGAGCCCCGGCACAGTGGAGAGGAAGCTGCTGATGTCACCCGGCTTGGCGCGCGTTAGCCCCACCTCCAGAGCATAGGCGAGGAAGCAGAGGCAGGATATGGCYGTGGCGGCGGCCTGCCGGGCACACTTGTCGGAATTGCAGGGGCTGCTGATGAAGGTGGAGGGGAACACCACGGAGGTGGTGAAGATCATCAGCGCGGCCAGCATGGAGAAGGCGGAGGTGAAGTCATCCCAGGAGAGGGGCAGCTTGGGGTACAGCTCCAGCAGCTCCAGCAGCACGATGAGCACGGTGACGGCGAAGCAGAAGCACCAGGTGAACATGCACCACGTCCCGTAGGCTCCCCCGTAGTCCTCGGTGGAGGCCACCAAGCTGAAGGCGATGCAGGAGAGCACGATGGCGAAGATGCGCGTGATGCCCACCCAGGAGGTCAGCGCCCGCAGGTTCACCCTCATGACGGCCATGGCGCGCCCGTGCCCGCCGCTCGCCTCGCTGCGCTGCCTGGGGCGCCCGGTGGCCGCCGCCGCTCGCCCGCCCGCGCGCGGCAACGCCCGAGCGCAGAGCTGCGGAAATGCCTGCGCCGCCGCGTGACCTTATCTGGGCCGCGGAGCCCGAGGGGAGGAGCGCGCACGGGGAGGCTCCGGCCGCCCCG